ACCAGTGGCGAAAACCCAAGGATCAGTATCATGGATTTTCCAGACTGTCTACACAGACGCACATAAATGCTTATTTGTGTGTAAATGCATGAAAGTGGTCTGAAAAAGATTTCACCCATCTGACATCATGCTTACCTCTGGCAACAGAAAGGGATAAGAGGTCCATCATTGGGACTTCAGTTTTATCTACACTGCTGTGTGTATGCAATGAGAATGTATTCAGGTACTGCATGTGTAAATACAAGTTAATAATAACCAGTGGGTTAGATTTTTTGTGGTTTGTTTGGTGGTTGTGCGTGAGGGGCATACTGGGAACTGAACCCAGGAAGCAATGAGCTGCATCCACAAACGCTTTTGTTTTTTGTTTCTGTTTTTTTTATTTTTAGACAGGGTCTAAGATGACCACATGGGACTCGAATTTGGAATCCTCCTGCTTTAGTCTCCCAAGTAGCTAGGATTACAGGTGTGTACTATGGTCAGCCACTTCAATGACTCTTAAGGCCTAGCAGCTCTAATCTCTACTTCTAAAGATCCTAAAACTCAGTTGTTGAGTGAGCTAATTAATCTTACCTGGAACAGAGGGCAGAAGATTTTTCTTAAAAAGGAAAACATAAACCTGGCTATAAAATAGAAAGGCTTTGATTCTTCAAAGCCTGAGAATAAAAAACAAAATAAATACAACTTTTTTTTTTTGGTACCGGGGATCAAACTCGGGTCCTTGCCTTTGCCTTTGTGCAGCAGGCAGCGAAACCACTGAGCTAAATCCCTGGCCCTAAATACAACTTTAATAATAATAGGAATAGTAATGCACTTCCTGGAAGATGTCACGAATGGGGCCAGATGAGCAGTTAACATATTTGTGATTTCTTGGGCACACGAGATGCTCCCGCTGCTGCCATTTTTATGTCACCACTCTTATTACCACTACTACCTGGCAATCAGGGCCTGCAGATCTCACATGGGAAAGGACCAGGGCTCCCTGACTCCTCCTCCCAGAAATACCATTGTTCCCCGCAGCAAGTGGATGTTATAAAATGTTTTCTTGTCCCAACAGCACTTCTGCAGATGCTAAGAAAAAGAGCTCTGAGTCAGCCTGACTCTCCCTTCCTGGAGGGCAGAAAAGGGCTTAGACAGGAAAATAAAAGCAGAAAGAACAGGGAAACGCTGCCAAGCTCCAGGACGGGCAGAGGCTGCCAGTGATGTGAGGCCTCACGCTGTGCGACGTGTCCTGAGAGAATGTGCACAAGTCGACTGCAAACTAAGTATTCCACAAGAGACAATGGCTAAAGAAACTATGATACAGCACATAATAGGCTGCCATGGAGACATCAGGAATTATGCCATTAAAAAATCCATATGGTATTTACTAATTAGGAAAGTTATAATCCACTATTGGCTAAGAAAAACCAAGTTACTAAGGACCATACCTAGCATGATCCTACAATAGTAATATAAGTCCCTATTTATTTGTTCTATATGTATACTGAAATACAGGAAAATCTGAAATACTAAGACCTTAATAGCAATTCTAGGAGCATTTGCATTGTTTTCTGCATGGAATATGGATAATTAATACAGCAAATAACTGTAAAAGAAACTAAACTAAAAATCCTAAAGAAATCTCTGATGCAGGGTAGCTACAATTGATCTTCCCTGGTGAGCGAGATTCGGAACCCTAGCAAGAGGAAGGGAAGGGTGGAAACAATGATAATCAAAGCAGTAATACTCCCTAAATGACAGAATGCCCTGCCTCTTGGAAACTCTCGTTCAGACAGCATTCTGCCCTGCATCTCCTGGGAAGATCGCTCCCCAGTCTGCAGATGAGGTATCCCAGACTCAGAAAGCCAAGGGAGTGTTTTTTGCTGAAAAACAGCAGCCAAGAAAGGCAGGCCCAGGACTCAAACCCAAACCTGCCATGCCCTGGGTGCCTGCTTTTTTACAAAAAGCATAAGGGGCTGAACACAGAGTTTCTAAGCAACCTAGCAATTCCACTGTTTGGTATCTACCCAACAGAAATGAAAACACAGGTCCACACAATAGCAGCATTGTTCATAATAACTCAAAAGGTGGAAACAACCCAAATGTCAATCATGAATGGATTTTTTTAAATGTATCAGTCTGGGGATGTAGCTCAGTGCTAGAACACTTGCCTAGCACACGTGAGGGCCTGGGTTCAACCCCTAGCCCTGAAAAAAAATAAAGGATATATCCATACAATGGAATAATATTCAGCAATAGAAAGGAATGAAGCGCTGATATGTGTTCTAACAAGAGTAAATCTTGAACCTGGGCATAATCGCAGCAGTTTGGAAGGCTTAGGCAAGAGGACTACAAGTTCAAGTCCCATCTGGGGAACTTAGTGAAATCCTGTCTCAAAATAAAAAATAAAAAGGGCTGGGAATGTAGCTCAATGTGAAGACTCTGGGTTCAATCCCCAGTACTGCCAATAAATAAATAAATAGCAGGTAGATAGATGGACCATGAAAACATTATGCTAGGTAAGAGGAGCTAGACACAAAAGGCCATAGATTACATGACTTTCTACATATGAAATGTCCAGAAAAGGCAAACCCAGAGAAATAGAAAACAGATTAGTAGTTACTTAGGGCTGGGAGAAATGGAAATATTAGAGATAATGGCAAAGGGATACAGAGTTTCTTTCTGGGGTTATGAAAATGTTCTAAAATTAGCTGTGATTGATGCATAATTTTCTGAATATATTCAAAACCACTGAATTGTTCATTTTAAATTTATAAATTATAGGGCTGGGGATTTAGCCCAGTGGTTTCGCCACCTGCTGCGCAAGTGCAAGGACTCGAGTTTGATCCCTGGTACCAAAACAAAAACATTTATAAATTATATAGTATGTGAATTATATTTCAATAAAGCGGCTAGAAAAACATTTAAAAAGAAAAGAGAGACTTCTGTTAATAAATACCCAGCACATTTCACGAAGGGTTTTGGCATTTAACACACGCACAGTCCTTGAGGAAGGGCAGCACACCTTTGTCTTGGTCCAAAGCTGCTGTGGTTCATATCTGGATGTCTCCTCAAAGGCTCGTGTGCTCAGAGCTTGGCCTTTTGGGAGTGGCGGGATCATGAGTGTGTGACAGCCATCAGTGGCTTAGTCCACAGATGAGTTTGCAGCTAACTATGATGTTGGGAGGTGAAGCCTGGTTGGAGGAGCTGGTCACTGGGGGCCTGGCCTGGCAGGGTCTCTCTCTCTCTCCCTCCTCCCTTGATCTTTCTGCTTCCTGCTGCCACGCCATGAGCAATTCTCTCTGCCACACTGCCTGGCCTCGAGCCAGCCCACTAAGGACTGAAACCTCTACCAACTGTGAGCCAAAATAAATCCTTCCTCCTTTAAGTTGGGTGTCAGGTGATTTCTTAGAGATGAGAAAGTAACTGAAACAAAAGTTTTTGGAACTCAGGATGCCTATGCTTTACTTTTTGACTCTGCATTCTCAGAGCATTAGAAATACTAACCACCCATGGGTTACTTCCTGCAGTCACTGACACGGGCTGCTGGCAGAGGCTGCTGGGCAGGGTCGGCTCCGTGGGCAGCACCTCTCTGCCCAGTGAGTCATCAAACGCTGGCTCCTCAGTCTCATTTCTGGGTGACCGGAGCTCTCGGATGAAGCTGTTAGAGCTGCTGGGTTAAAACATGACCACCACTAAAGTTGGCCAACAAGGGCGTGGCAGGGGCAGCTGGTGCAAAGTCTTCGAAAGGTGATCGGCGATGCCCAGCAGTTTAAACACAAAAGTTCTGCCCCAGTCACTCCAGCGCTGGGGAGTTCTCTGGCAAGTGCACCCGCATGGCACAAAGGCATATGCCTAAGGAGGCTCCATCTCCCACTGAAGCAATGTGCAGACATTAAAAACAAAAACGACCAGCACTATAGGCCCTGGGCTCTATCCCAAAGACTGAAAAAACCCAAACAACAATAAAAACCAAAACCAAAACCACAACATAAGCGAGCTACAAACTGCAGTCACAACATCTATTCAAGATCACCTTAGCTGGGCTCTGGAGGCAGGAGGATCAAAAATTCAAGCCCAAGGGCCGGGGATTTAGCTCAGCGGCACCACACCTGCCTCGCAAGAGCAAAGTCCTGAGTTCAATCCCCGGTACCAGAAAAAAACAAATTCAAGCCCAGCCTGGGCAACTTAAGGAGATCCCGTCTTAAAATTTTAAAAATTAAAAAGGGCCTGTGGATATAGTTCAGTGCAAAAGCCCTGAGTTCAATCCCCCAAACCACTAGCAATAATAATGATAAATAAATAAATAAAAGTTTTAAAAAGTAAAGTAAAAAAAACCAAAAACTAAGAAGAGTTGGGGATGTAGCTCAGGGCAGTCTCTAGGTTCAATCCTGAGTAGTGGGGAAAAAAAATCACTTAGGTTCAGACAATCCCACCATTTCCTGGGGCTCCACGTAGTTCCCAGAGCCCAGGGTTTACTATCTGGCAGAATGCCAGCTGCCCAGGAAGTGCAGTGGACACAGTTGCTCTGGGAAGGGCACGTACAGCAGGCCCACCAGGCCAACAGACGGGTCACAGAAGTTCTAGTTCATGTTGCTCTGAAGGGCTGATAAGGCGGGACTGCAACAAGGGTGCAGAACAGGTTAAAGAGGAAAGTCACATGCAAATGTGCTAATGTGTGCAGAGAACCTTTCTGGAAGGATGCAGGCCAGAGCTCCGAGCTGGAGGTACCATTTTTCTCTCATCCCACTTGTAAGGTCTGAATTCATTTTACCTTGTCCATGTATTACTTACATACTATAAAATATATATATTGTTAAAATTTGCATATATATTTATATATGGGCATTTATTACTATACTATTTGTAACAGAGGGGAAAAAAACCAAAACAGTTCTCAAAGGGCTGGGATAGAATGGTTACCTAGCATGTGGGTGGCCCTGGGTTCAATTTCTAGCACTGCCACAAAAAAAAAAAAAAAAAAGACAAAAGAAGTGCTCCATACGTGCTGCCATGGGGTGAACCCCAAGATATTCTCAGAAGAGAAAAACAAATTTTAAATATAAAATGTCTAACTTTACTTAAAAATGAAAAAAATATATGCTATATACACTTATTCTAGAAAATGTAGACATGACAGAGAAGTAAAAAAGGAATAGCCGTTCCTGATCCTTTTCAAAGCAGTCCCACGTTATGATAAGCATCCTTTGGTCACCTGCCTGTTGCCCACTGAGAGGTGCCCCTGGTCGGATTCCATCACATGCCCGTCGCCGGAGGACCTGGGCCCATCCAGTACCTGTCAGGGCAGAGGTCCTTGGGCAAGCCCAGGTGCCCATTTTGGTCAAACGACCCAGGTTGCTGTGTCAACAGTAAACTAAACACACACACATGAGGTTTGCTGAGTGCCAGAGGGGGTGAGGTCTGGAAAAATGAGCAGCTGTCTCCCTCTGGAGTCACACTGGCAAAGGTAATCCACAGGTCGGTGGGCAAGGGAGAGCTCCACTGCGCCCACACGTGGTCAAACGTCTTCCCAAGTAATGCCCGAGGGAAGAGCGGGGCCCTCAGACACAGCCTCTGGGCTGCAGAGTGACATCTGAGCGTGACACAGATATCTGAGAGAGGTACACAGAGGTCTGCTAGGCGCCTGGGAAATGCAGAGGGGAGAGACAGCCAGGAAGTTGTCTCAAGACAGAAAGAGCTGGGACTGTAATTTTCTTTTTAGGACTGTAATTTTCATAGACCAAGACAGCAGTTGAAAGAGGTTTTAGGCAGAGAAGCGAAAGGGAAGCCCATTCCCAGAGCTTAAAGGGGTGCAGTGGGGAAACAGAGCCTGGAGGAACCCACAGTCTCGGCACGATCCCAGCTTGGCTTTGTGGAAGCGATGGCTTAGAGGAGAAGTTATTTGTTGTTGTTTGTTGGGGGATAGGATGTTACCTACTAATTTTGCTTTATTTTTCCCTTCTATTTTGTACCAGGGATCGAACCGGGACCTTGCGCTTTCGAGGTAGGTGTGCTGCCACTGAACTACATCCCCGGCCCTATTTTTTTAAAACACTTTTTTGTTTTGCCTCACAAGTACAACATACATGTAGCTTTGAATTCTTAAATGTTTATATACTGTACATAGTAATCAAAGTCCCTCTTTATGCTGCCTTTTCCCCTGAATTACCACTAATGATTGGTTGCAATTTTTGTTATGCAGATATTAATATGTGTACACACACACACACACACACACACACACACACACACATATATATTTTTTGGTACTGGGGATCGAACTCAGGTCCTTGTGCCTGTGCAGCAGGTGCCGAAACCACTGAGCTAAATCCCCGGCCCTTGTGTATATATTTTTAAATAAAAGTGGATATCCTATTTCCATTTGTCTTTTGACTTAACAGCATATTTTATTTATTTATTTATTTATTTATTTATTTTGGTACTGGGGATCGAACTCGGGTCCTTGAGCTTGTGCAGCAGTTAACAGCATATTTTTAAGGAGACGCTTGAGGATGGGGGTGTAGCTCAGTGAAAGAGCAAAGGCCTAGCATGTACCAGGTCCTTGGGTCAATCCCCAGCATCCATAAAAAATAGTTTTTTAAAAATAGCTAATATTTTTTCAGCACCGTGCCAAGGGATTTTCATGAATTTTTTTTTTCACATACACATATGAAATTTTCCTTCTTTCCTTCCTTCTTTTTCTCGCTCTCTTTCACTCTTTCTTGCTTAGGGGTGCTGGGGATGGAACGCCAGGCCTCACACCCTACCACGGAGCCGTACTCCTCAGGCTCTGAAATACTTGTGGGTATTGCTCGTGTCATATGTGAATTCAGCACCCTGTTAGGACCATGGTTTATCACTGAAATAGGCCCCTTTAGAGGCATATTTGAGCTCTTTGAAAACCACGCTTCTCACATGCCTTCCTGGAATGGGGAGAGTCCCTAAACTGCCCTAGGATGGAAACAACGATAAAACTGCAGCCATGGTTGGGATTCCCCACCCCCAGAAGAGGCCCACGGGGCTATTTCTGGAGCTGCCTGCCCAAGCCGGACCTAGACTAGAACTCTGGTCTTGAAGGAAAAAAATTACCCAACTGTCTCTAAGAACTAAGGTGATTAATATTCTAAAAACATTCTAATATTCTAAAAAATTCTATAAAATTATAGAAAAATGTTTTTCATTTCTAATTCCAAAGTGGTAATAGGTATTTTGCTTATAGTACTAACAGATACTGTTTGTAAAGATTAAATTACAGTGTTGCATTTTAAAATTTTTCTCCCACAAGAAACTATATGAAGTCTAATAATGCTCACCTTTCCCCTCTCTTTTATACAGCTTTGCTATGCTGTGAACAAATATTTCTTCCTGAGTCCAGAAGAACCCTGAGCAATGGTTTTTTGGACCAACTACAAAACTATACTTTAAATCACATCCCCTAGGGGTACGATGACTGCATCATCACATTGTCTGCATTCCCCAGGCTCTCAGCAGACCTCTGTGTACATCTCTCAGATGTTTGTGTCACGCTCAAATGTCACTCCGAAGCCCAGGGGCGAGTCTGAGGGCCTCGCTGCTCCCTAGGCGGAACATGAGTGCATACTGTACTCATGTCTGCACACATGAAGGGGTGAGATTAAAATATTTCACAAAACTGGATACATGCAGATGTGCAGAAGATTCGAGCTGAAACCCTTCCTTGAGGGAGGTGCTGGAACCCTTCCCTGAGTTTTGATTAGTAAACAAATTCGGAAAAAGGTAATTTGTGGAAAGAGTTTTCCACACGCATGTACATGAGTGTGTGAGAGTGCTAGGGATGGAATACAGAGCCCCCCACATGCTAGGCAAGTGCACTACCACTGAGTTACAACCCCAGCTGGAGGAAAGCCCTTAAAAACCATTAATTTTTCAGTCAATGATAAGTTGTTGGGGCCATACACTGGGATTTGGGAACAGAAAGGGAAATAACATTTATTAAGCACTTGTACTGTGCAAAACATAGGCACTGATTCAAAAACAATGAATAACAAGAATTGAGTCTACTTTCTATAGCCAAACCACAAAGACAGCTATAATATTAAAGGAGGTCATGTTTTCAGTGCTCCTAAAACATATTGCTATCTAAGTAACTAATACTTTATACTTTTTCTTTGTGTCAGTGTCTGCTAGATAAATGGAGACTCTTTTTTTTTTTCCAGTACCAGGGATGGAACTCAGGACCTTGCACTTGCCAGGCAGGTGTGGTGCCACTGAGCTACGTCCCCTGCCCTTGGAGAGACTCTAAAGTCTGTAGACAATTGTTTGTCTGTCTGTACTCAAGGCACAGGCTGGTGACAGATACATAATACACAATAAATAATGCAAGTTGACTCATTTATATAATTCAATACCAAATTGCTTTAAATAAAAGCATAATGGCATAATAATTATTTTTTAAATTAAGCTGGGCATTGCAGTGCCTGCTTGTAATTCCAGCACTCTGAGAGGGGCAGAGGACTGAAAGTTCAAGCCCAGCTTGGCTGACTTAGCAAGACCCTGTTTCATAATAAAAAGTAAAAACAGAGCTGGGGATTTGGCTCAGTGCAAAGGCCCTGGACTTAATTCCTAGTACAGAGAAAAAAAAATACTGTTGTATAATACTGTTATAATTATTCTACCTTATTATTGTTTATTGTTATCACCATCTCTTCCTAGGTCTAATTTGTAAGTTAATCTTTATCATACATATGAATGTGTAGGAAAACAGTATATTCAGGGTTAGGTACGATGCATAGTCTCAAGCATCCTCTGCAACCTTGGAATGTATCCCTGGCAGATAAAGGTGGACTACTGTATATGTTTCAAGAAATAAGATCTTTACACTTTCCAGGACTCTAATATTTTCTATTCTAGTCCATTCTGCTTCATTTCTTTTTCTTTTCTTTTTTTTTTGGTACTGGGGATCGAACTCTGGACCCTCGCGTTTGCAAGGCAGGCAGCGGCACTACTGAGCTAAATCCCGGCCCATGTTCTGCTTCATTTCTTTAAAAAATGTTGGATGTGGCCATAACCAATTGATAAGTTCACCATGTTTATGTACATGAACATGTCCCCACGTTCAAGAAACAAGATCTTTTCAACGTGCAGTGCTCTCTGAGGCTTTCTATTTCATTCTGTCTGTTTGCTTCCTCCCTCCCTCCCTTCCCGCTTCCTGTACTGAGGCTTTAATTTAGAGCCTTCACACTGAGCTACAGCCCCAGCCTTTTTTTCTTTTGGTACCAGAAATCGAACTCAGGACCTTGCACTTGCGAGGCAGGTGGTGGCACCACTGAGCTAAATGCCCGGGCCAACCCCAGCCTTTTAAAAATAAATAAATAAACTGACTTATTTATTTATTTATAGACAGGGTCTGGCGAAGTCTCTAAGTTGCCCAGGCTGGGCTTCAACTTGTGATCTTCCTGTTTCAGCCTCTCAGAGTGTGAGGATTACAGGTGTGTATCACCACACTCATCTCTCTTCTATTTCTTCAAATAAGAAAGAAAAAACCAAAAAAAGATAAGAAAAAAAAAAGGTGGGCAAGATTCACCAAAAAGTTTTTACAACTCTGCTCCAAGGTAATGAAACATATTTTAGGGCCGGGGACTTAGCTCAGTGCCACTGCGCCTGCCTCGGAAGCGCAAGGTCGTGAGTTCGATCCCTGGTACCAAAAAAAAAAAGTATAAAATGTATTTTAGCCAACAAATTTCTCCCAGTGTAACAGGTATATCCTCAGATCCAGAATTTGTTGCACTGGCCAGGGTTTGAAGACAGGGAAGACCCCAAGCAGTGGTCTCAATTTGCCAGGCCTTGGAGCGGGGAAGCTGAGCCAGGGGAGGTGCCACACACGGTTCGCTCACCTTGACGTGGAAGGAGCCGGCCGGGGACCCGCTGGAGCCATACTGCTCATTTTTCACTAGGTGGCTGTAGTAGTTACTGACCCTGGAATTGACATTCTGGTTGGACCCGGGGTCATCAGTGATGGGGCAGATAAAGCAGCCTTCTTCCTCGTCGCTGTCTGTATCAGAGTCACCATGGTGGCCGCCCCAGGAGGCCAGGCCACCATACACGCCTTCCATGCGGAAGATGAGGTCCTCGTCCGCCATCCTCTGGGGATGCCCGTCTTACCCAAGGGGTGAGCGGTCCAGCCAGAGTTACAGGGCCAATGTGGCAGCGAAGGTCCTGCAAGGGAAGCAAGAGCCACAGTGTGGGTGCTCCTCCCCAGGAGGGAGGCTGGGGGTGACAGCTCCCTGGGCACCCAACCCTGCCTGCCAATGGCAACCGCCAAGAGCCTGCATCCCCAGAGTGAAACCCAGAGCTGTCTTTTGGGAGGCAGCTGGCTGCATCCAGGAATGTTTCAAACGTCCACAGTCATCAACCCAGTAATTCCACTTCTAAGGACTCTAGCACTTGGAAATGTTGGGACCAGAGTTGCCCCAGCAACCAGTGATCTTCTTAGAACATAAATTAGATCAAATCATTCGCTTAACCCTTCCAGCAACTTCCCTTCATATTTGCAATAAAATCCAAATGCCTTTTAAAGGCTACAGGGACTGAGTAATCTGGCCCCCTGCCCACCTCTCTTCCAGCCATGGCTGCTCTCCAGGCACAGTGGTTTCTTTCTGTTCTGTGTACACCTCAGGCCAGGAGAGGGGGTTCATGGGCGGGGGGGTGCTGCGCAAGGCTGGGAAGGACTTGTCTTTAAGTCCTGCTTCATTCCTCCCTTTGATGCTCTTTATAACAAGTTTTATTAAAGAGCATCATCATTATCATCAATTTTTATCATAAGGGAGTGCTACATCACGAGAAAAACCACCTCCTCCTCTTTGTTCAACACCCAGTCATTTTGGATAGAGTCTGCTGAGCCAGGGTATACACCTTAAATAAATCCTCCTGACTCCCATTTGGTCTCTCCTGTCTCTTGGAATTCTACAACAATGGTACACAAAGAAATGCTGTAATTTATATAACGGGCTTCCATTGACAGACGTTTGGGACTGTTAGTACAGTATCTTGTTATTATTTATCACGGTGTAGAGGACATTCTTGGGGCACTCATCCATTCCAGGAAGTGTACTGTGCATCTCTGAGGCACTCGAAGGGCATAGAGGGATAATAAAAAGTAAACAGGATGATTTCAGCCTGCAAAAATTATTGTTAAGAAAATAAAAGAGGGTATTGTGTGAGGGAGTGACTAGATATGCATTTGAAGGATTGGTTCTTTCGAGGATTTGGGGAAGGATTTTCTAAAGAAGTGACTTTTGAGCTGGGATTCTGGCATTAAAGAAGAACCTGCTGTAGGAAGGTTGTTTCAGGCACAGGGAACAAGTACAAAGGCCCTGCAGTGGGAATGTGCCTGAAATCCCAGTACTTGGGAGGCTGAAGCAGGACTGCTGTGAATTCAGGGTCAGCCTGGGCTCCATAGTGAGTTCAAGGCCAGCGTGAACTATATAGTGAGACCTTGTCTCAAAAAAAAAAAAAAAAAAGAAAGAAAAAAAGAATAGATAACCTGAACATCAAAAAAAAAAAAAAATCAAAAGATTTTTGTGCTTCAGTTTTTGTCTGTTGTTTTTTGAGACAGAGTCTTGCTATGTTCCCCAGGCTGGCCTCGAACTCATGGGGATCCTCCTACCTCAGCCTCCCAAGTGCTGAGATTACAGGTATGCACCACCACACCTGGCAAAAAGATTTTGTGTTTCAAAGGACATTATCAAGAAAGTGAAGAGAGGGCCAGGGATTTAGCTCAGTGGTTCCAGCGCCTGCCTTGCAAGTGCAAGGTCCCGAGTTCGATCTCCAGTACCAAAAAAAAAAAAAAAAAAAAAAAGAAAGTGAAGAGAAGATGCTTGGCTCTGGTGCATGCCTGTAATCCCAGCTATGCAGAAGGCCAAATTCAAGGCCAACCTGGGCAATTTAGTGGAAACCCTGTCTCAAAATAAGAAAGTAAAAAGGGCTGGGAATGTAGTGGGAGAGCCCCTGGCTAGCATGCATGAAGCTGTGAGTTCAATTCCTAGTACCTCAAAAAAAAAAGTGAAGAGACAATTCGCAGAAAGGGAGGCAAATTTTGCAAATAATATATCTGATAAGGGACTATATAAAGAACTTTTACAAGTCAACAACAAAAAGACAACCCAATGGCGAATAAACCGATGAGAAGATGCTCAACACCATTAGGCATTAGGGAAATACAAGACAAAGTCACACTCACTAGGATGGATATACATTTTAAAAATGGGTTGGCAAAGATGTGGAGAAATTGAAACCCATATATACTGTTGGTGGGAATGTAAAATGGTACCGCCACATTAGGAAACAGTTTGGCAATTTCTCAAAAAGTTAAACACCAAGTTATGATGTGGTCCAGCAATTCCACTCCTAGGTACAGTATAGACCCAAGAAAATGGAGACATATGCCCACACAGAAACCTGTATACAGGTGCTCACAGCAGCATTATGAAAAATAGTGAACAGGGAAAACAACCAGGCCGGGGAGTTAGCTCAGTGGCACCACAAGGTCCTGAGTTCGATCTCTGGTACCAAAAAAATAAGGGAAAACAACCCAAATGTCCAGCAACCGATGAACGGATTTTAGTAAGTAGTATATTCACATAATAGAATGTTACTTAGGAATACATATTTTTTCAAGTTCTGAAACACGCTTCAACATTAATTAAACTTAAAACTATTATGCAAAGCTGGGGATTCTGCTGCCTGCCCTAAAAGTGCAAGGACCCTAGTTCGATCCCCAGTACCATAAAAAAAAAAACTATTATGCAAAATGAAAGTTATCAAAAACTATTGCAGGGCCAGGGATTTAGCTCAGTGGTTCCGCCTCCTGCTGTCCAAGCACAGGACCCGAGTTCGATCGCCGGTACCAAAACAAAAAAACAAAAACTATTGCATGATTCAATTTATATGAAATGTCCAGAGAAGGCAAATCTTAAGAAACAGAAAACATATTAGTGACGACGTGGGGCTGCAGGTGAGGGTAGAAGGGTGGCTGGGAAGAAATGAGGTGATGACAATGCTCTAAAATTGATTGTGAATCTACTAAAAGCCACAGAAAACTAGTCTTAAATGGGTACATTGTGAGATATGTGAATCACATTTCAATAAAGTCAAAGCTTTTTAAAAGTCAAGAAAAAATGTTAAATTTAAAAGGCAAGTTGCAGAAAATTGAGCATACTGTGATGTGCAAAGGAGAAGAAAAAGGACAACTGTACGCACATCAAAACTTTTCCAAAAGGACTGGGGCGGACACTGAAATGGGCATGGGCAGGGGAGCGGGGAGCTGAGGGCTGGGAACCAGAAATAAAGGGAACTTTTTTTTTTTTTTTTGGTACCAGGGTTTGAACTCAGGATCTTCCGCTTGTGAGGCAGGCAGTGGCACCACTGAGCTAAATCCCCGGCCCCCTTAGGGAACTTTTTAAAAGCTGGTCGATTTCTATACTGTTCTGTTTGCAAACCTGGGCTGCTTTCAACACAAGATGATAAATTAAATCTGTTTTCTAAAAAATTGGTTTAAGAGCCAAGCACAATGGCATGTCCGTAGGCCCAGCTACTTGGGAGGCTGAGGCAGGAGGATCACTTGTACCCAGGAGTTGGGGTCAGCCTGGCAACAGAGACAGTGCTCATTTCTTCAAAGAAAAAGAAAAACATTTTTAGATCAAACCAACAATTCCAATTATTTTCTTCTTTTTTTTTGTTTTGGTACTGGGGATCAAATTCAGGACCTTGTGCTTGCAAGGCAGGCATGGTGCCACTGAGCTAAATCCCGGCCCTATTTCAATTATTAACAGTTCTGTCTAACATACAGGTCTTGGCATTTTCTTGACAACTACTGAGGGAGGAAATACATTTGTATTCCTAGCCACACCTAAATGGCAATTAAAATTTCAAGAAACACCTTTTGTGCAATGTACTCTTGCTATTTTCTATTCTGCTTATGGCTTTTGGTTTTCTTTTTATTCTATTTCTTTAATACTCCACCCACATGTTGATTTCTCCACCCACAATTTCCACATCCATGTCAATTTTGTTTCTTATCTTCCGAGCGAGACAGAGTTACCAGCTGGGAGCTGACACCACAGCCACCTGACTCTGCCTGTCATTCAGATCTGCCCTGGGCCTGGGCCTGCTGCTTCTAGCCCTGGTGCCTCCCTCGGCCCTGGTCAGCCCCTGGCCGAATCCATGCTGACCAACACAGGGATTGTGGCGCTGAGCTGCCAGTGGGCCCAGCCAGGTCAGCGAGCTCTGGGTGCCGAGGCGGTGCCATGCGAGGGGCCAGACCACAGCTCCTGCCTGCCACCCCAGGCAGTGCAGCTCCGTGGTGAGAGCTCAGATCAGGAGCCCGGCTGCCAGGCGCAAATCCTGGCTCTGCTGCTGGTGATCTTGTCAAATTAATCCATCTCATCAACTCCATTTTTGGCAGGAGCTGAGAGGGGAAAAAGCCTGACTGCAGTTCCACACCTCGTTCACAGGGGACTGAGGAATGGAACCACAGCCCGTGGCCACATCTTACCATGGACCTGATGTTCTCCTGCCCCTGGGCAACAAAAGCAGCTGGAGAAAGTGGCTGTGACCCAGCAGGCACTGGATGGGGATTCTAGACACAGTGAGCCTCATCTGCCTGCTAACTGTCTGTCAAAACCACTCATTCCTTCTTCCTTAGTAACAGAACCAGTGTAGGCGCAGAGCTAAGCACAGAGCCACTCTCAAAGGGCAGGCTGGGAAAACTGTGGCCTCAATCCAGAGTCCAAACTTGGCAGCCGTCCTCGCACTGGTGCATAAAGACAGGGCACCTGGGGCAGGGGTGTCGGGTTCCCCTGGATAGGCAAGGAACCCTCGTTAGCCCATGACTCGGTTCCATGGCACTGGTTCTGACACCAGCCTCCTGGTGACCGCCATCCAGCTTGGACTTGTCCCAAAGAGCGAGCCTGCTCCTGTGAACAGAGGCCTAAGACAGGGGCAGGACCCAGCCTCCGACCTCCAGATCCTCCAGAAAGTTTCCTCTGCCTTCATCAGGCACTGACGTCTTCCCTCCCCATCCTTGACAAGCCCTGGGGAAAAACTTTCACAGAGAAGCAGCTAAGTTCTTTTTTTCCCTCAAATTCTTTCATCGGTCCATTTTAGGTGCACAATACATTTAAATTTATCACTGGATGCTTGCACCTGTGCGTGATGCA